CTAGCCACTACAATGTCATGCCCGACCTTCAGCACCTTCCCTTCTTCGTTGTTTCCTCTTCCTTCTTCACTTCCCACTTTTACGATCGAAAACTCAACTTCGATTCCCTCGCTAGGGTTCTTGTCACCTACCAACATTTTACCTTTTACCCTATCATGTGCTTCGCTAGGCTCAACCTCTTCACCCAATCTTTCTTCCTCTTGCTTTCCAACCGTAAGGTCGACCACATAGGAGTAGAGCTTCTTGGCCTACTCTTGTTCTAGATTTAGTACCCTCTCTTAATCTTCTTCTTGCCAAATTGGTGATAGGGTTTTTTTTTCGTTCTTGTTAACTTCTCTGTTACCGGAATTCAATATGTTTGATTCTACTTGAACTATTTCTCCTCCAAGGTCTACCTTGGCCCCACTAATGGCTCCGATTGGTTTCAAATACATATTAATGGCACTCTCGATGTTAGCTGCTCTTCCTAGATGGATTGGTTCCACGGTAACTTGCAGTTTCAGGTGGAGCACCACCTCTTTCCGTACCTCTTAATCTCAAGTAGTTTCTAGGTCATGAAAAACACGGTCGTGATTTGAAATTACAGACGTGATTCTCACGGACCTTTAACACCGTTTGTGAAATTTGGACGGAAATCCCACATTAAAGTATTTTTAAATAAATTGTGACTAAATTAAAACCAAAAATTAAAAGGAATCAAATTAAATTTTTTAAATATTATAAAACACCAAATTAAAGTTTTAGCCAAAAATTTATCATGATTCAAAAGGTTACTTCACTACTCGTGATTCATGAATCAGTATATTTTAATATCAAAAGGCTTTAATTAACAACTTGATAAATATACATGATTGGTTTTCAAAGATAAATTTATCCATGGATCAAAAGGTTACTTCACTACTCGTGATTCATGAATCAGTATATTTTAATATCAAAAGAATTTAATTAACAACTTGATAAAATACATTATTGGTTTTCAAAGATAAATATACACTATTAAATATTCAAATTAAAAAATATATATAATCATCATATAAGAAAAGCATAAAAAAATAATGTAGTTTATGATCCGCGTGTTATAAATAAATAAAAAAAACAGTAAATATAATTAAAAATAAGATAATTATGGAGTTGTAAGTCCAATAATTTTTTTTAAAGATATGAAAGATTACAAAAATGGTTACAATGAGGATTAAACCTAAGTCCTCATGCTCTTAATTACCCAAATCCCTTCCCACTCAACTACTAGGCTAATCCTAGTGATGTAAGCCCAATAATTTAAAAAGGGGAAAACAGCTATAACAATGCAATTCTTAACATTTTAGGTAACAATAATTATAAAATAAATGCCACCATCTATTATTATAGATCAGTAGTAAATTTTCAACGGTTTTTTATTTTGTTATTTTTAAATAGTTAATTTTGTTAGAAAAATAATTTTAATTTTCAATTCAAATTTATAAGATACTGTGTATATTTTAAAAGATACTTGTGTTTTTAAAATTTTATATAAAATTAAAATATATTATATTTATTTAAGAGATTTATTTTTTCTTTTAAGATTAGCATGTTAGCTCAATAAATATGTAAGAGAATTTGTAGGTTTCTCTAGAAAGAAAGAGTAATTTTCAAATTTTAAAATTCGTGAGGAAAGAGTTTTTAAATTTTATTAAATGAATGATTTTTAGGAATTAATACATGTTGGAATAATAAATATCTTTATGGATGTAGGCTTAAATGTAGACATAAAGGGTTAAACTATATAAAATAAATTTTATGTGATCTTATCCTTTTTTAATGATATTTTGTGTATTTTTTAATCGTTGTATGTAAATAAAAGAAGAGAAGGTTTTTTTTTTTCAATAGTTATTAGAGCCTGATTCGTGTAATATGTCACTTTGTATTGGCATATAACAATTCTAATACTGAGAATGGAGACAAAATGAATACCATAGAACAAAAGTATGATTGAAGATGAACATTCATAACAATTAGAATAAAAGTATGATTAAAGATGAACATTCATAACAATTAGAAGATTAAATTTGAAAATTTTAGCTGAAGAATAAGGAATTATTGAAAACACAATTCAAATTTTTAATTTCAAATATCTAAAAGTTTATTTAAATTTTAAAAGATATTTATTATTTTAAGATACTGCTTATAATTAAAATATATTATATATATATTTTTTTTTAAAAATTAAAATGTTAGGTGAAGAAATATATATTCTTGAGACGAGAAGAATTACCTCTATAAAGGGAGTCGCCACTTAATATGAGAGAAAGTTATATGAAGTGTTTCCAAAATTCACTTATAAAATTTGTAAAAAAAAGTTTTAAGTTTCATTCATGAAACTTGTGAGGAAAATTTTAAAATTTCATTTGCAAAATTTGAAGCAAATTTTTTTATAAATATACATGTAATATATTTTAGGAATTAATATCTTTGTAAATATAAACATGAAAGCTTAAATCACATTAAATAAAATTTATATAATCTTATATAATTTCTTTTATGATGCTTTATATATTTTTTCATCGTTGTGTAAAGAAAATAAGAAAATTTCCTTTTCTTTTCAACAAACTTGGTAAAACAGAAACGCTGGAAAGGCACAAGACATTATTTTTAACATTCTTGTTAAATTGAAAAGGAAAAAAAAAATTTGAATTCAAACAATGAATAATATACCCAAGTATGAAAAACACTGAACCAACCAATTTCAAATCGCATTTTAGTGTCAAAAGAACCAAATAAGCTAATACTAGTAATAACTTATAGCCATAGATGAAGGGTAAACTTATTAGAGAAAGAGGGATACCTCTTGGTCTTGGTTATGATTCTGGGGAGTATCAGAAACTTGTGGATAGGCATGTTGCTCCGTTGGCCGTGAGGAAGATGGGTCCACTGCAATCATGACGTTACCTACTACTCTGCTAATTCGATCTGCTTCGTTTCTTCACGGCCTTTTAATCGCACCACCCATAATTCTCGTATAGTCACAGAGGAATACCAAGCAAAACCCATAAAAGAAAAGGCTTTCAGCTTCTAAAATTGATTTATAGTATAGATAGATGCTGATAGACAGAAATTGCGAGAGGTGAAAGACGATAATGGTCCTGCAACTGCAATTATCGAGTCCCCGAAAAGTTCCAAAAAAAAAAAAAATCTAATGTTTTGATTATAGTTTTTGTACCGTACCATTTCGGTCAATTTTATAAAATTCAACTATCTAATTTATAACTATATATAAATGATAATCTCTTCTTTAATTTTTTTTATCTTTATTTTTAATGAAATTATTATGTCTTCATTTAGATAAATGACTAAATTGTATCTCATTTTCAATGTAATCTCTGAGTCTTATAAAACCTATAAAAAAAATATTAAAAATGTAATTTATTATTTATTTGAGTTCCCTTGTTAAATTTTTTTTTCTTAAATAAATTTTTTTGTGTTATTTGATAATGTTATGTGGCATATGTGTCATACACATATGAATATCTCAATTTGTGTTATGTGAATGTGTCCCTTCAGTATCACATATTAATAATTGTGTGATTTTTTTTTTTATGAATTAATAATTGTGTGTAAACTACAATAATTATCTTTCTTTTTTCTTATTTCTAGTAATTTCAACCTCTTGTTAAACCTAAAAGAATTTTGGACTAAATCTCATTAGAGGAATTATCTGATATTTTTTTTTACTAAAATATGTTATTTGAATATTTTATTATACAAAATTTCAAAATAAATGTTTTATTAATTAAAATTCAAGTATTATAAAGTATATCTTATGTCATTTTTATTTTTAAAAAGCATAATGTTTTGATCTCTCTGAATTGATTACCATCAGTCTCGAGGTTGAAGATTTGAAAAGCAATGAACACAAACCGTTTTGACATTGTCATTAATTTAAAAAAAGAAAAAAGGTTAGCCATTAGCAGCTTCCGGGTTTCACTAAAATGCTTCACAAGAGGGCCATTTACATGCATAAACTCCATTAATGGCAATCATAACTCAATCTTTCATTCCTGATTTACGTAGTTGAATAAACAACCCATCCCACGTGTCAGACTGAGGGACACATGTAAATGTAAAGGTACATTTGTACTATGCATGATATTCTAACCAGCCTTGATGAGTATTCGCCCGAACTCACCCTAATTTGGACGGGAAAAATTTATGTTTATCGGGTTTGAGTTTGAATTTTTCCCGATTGATAAAATTGGGGACGGGTGCTCGCCCTGCTTAATAATATAATTAAATAACTATTTATATATATATATAAACTAAAATTAAAAATATTTATATATAAAAATTTATATTATTTTAGTTTTTTTTATTTTTTTTAAATTTGTTCATATTTATTTAAAAAAAAGAAAGAAAAAAGCAGGAAAAAAATAGAAGCGAGAGTGGGGATGGGACGGAAAACCTGAACCCCGTCGAGAATAGAGATAGATACCCAGATTGTACTCCCGACAAATATCGAGGGCAATTTAAATTTACAGGAACGAGGGCGGAGAACGTAAAACTCGCTCCAGCCCTGACCTATTGCCATGCCTAATTTGTGTACAATGAATCGTGGCCTTTGTTGGTGTGAGGATAAGTGTGAATTATTTTATTTTCAACCTCACTTTGTGTCTCTGCAAGATATACACTAGTGATTTAGAAACTTTTAAAAAATAAAATAAAAGGATGATTGCCTCTTTAAAACATTATTTCAGAATAAAAAAATCATTTTATGTCACAATACTACCGATAAATTAATGAAATTATAATGGCTTTTTGTGTGTAGAAATTACAAAATTTAAAATTATATATTTTCTAAAATATTTTAATTACGAAGACTTAACTAAAAATTCAACAAAATTATAGGGACTTGACGATTAATTGACATTTTTTAAAACCTTAATTTTTATTATAAGTCCATTATCAGTAAAGGCCCATTTAAGAGGCCCAACCCGTTATAAAACCTAAATGCAATCCGAACCGTCCAATTTAGGTGTTGTATCAGTCGAAGGCTACTTTAAAAACCAGCACAAACCCTAACTCGTGCCTCCGCCATTTTCCGTAGCAGCTGTTCCTGCGTGTGAACAAGCCTCAGGTAACTCTCACCTTCAATCATCTTCATAGATGCTTCATTGCAACACTGCGTACATTTCTCATTGTAGATCTTTGTTCTGATGTTATGTTTTCGAGGCACTCTTAGTTTTATTATTGTTTTGAATTTCTCATCCTTTTTTGTTCTGGAAGCGGATTGTTCTCCTTTTTTTTTTCACATTGTTTCTGGATTCGTAGTGTTTGGGATTGAATTAGACCTTGAACCATCGTATTTTTCCGATATTCGGATTCTTGCTATTGTTTTTCGATTTATGTTTTTGAACTACTATTGTTTTGGAAGTTGTTAGGCTCTGGAATTTGCTATGATTTCCATTCCTTTGTTTGTTTATGATTATACTGAGGTATTTTTCCGTTAATGTGAGATTAGCCTCGAGTTGTGTGGCTAATCCTACTCTCTGGAAGATTGTTGGATGATAACCATGTATGCATTCAGTTAACGAGACTATTTTTATCCTATATCAGTCCAATGATCCGGTGTAATATTTTTTTAAAACAATATATTTGATAAATGTTGTAATTTTTAGTTTTTGTTGTCATTGTAACATTGTATTTGTTATTGAGGTATCAAATGAGGTTTAGCTAAATTATTTTAGTGATTGTTGTTTGTGATTTATTTTCTTTGTTTAGACTATCTTGTGCTGATCATCTACTTTTATTACATAATATAATTTGTTGCTTTATATGTAGGTAAGCCATGGTTAAGCATAACAATGTTATTCCCAACGGTCACTTCCGTAAGCATTGGCAAAACTATGTGAAGACCTGGTTCAATCAGCCAGCAAGGAAGACAAGAAGACGATTGGGTGATTATAACATTTTCATGCTGTTTGAAATTTATTAGTAATTATTCTGTTAGTCTCGTGTTTATAAAGATCTGACTGAATTAGTACTGATAGATGCTTTAATTCTTTGACATGTTGATGTTGCTTCATTCTTAAGCTCGTCAGAAGAAAGCTGTTAAGATTTTCCCCAGACCTACCGCTGGACCTCTTAGACCTGTTGTACATGGTCAAACTTTGAAATACAACATGAAAGTGAGAGCTGGCAGAGGATTTTCTCTGGAAGAACTTAAGGTAAAGATACATTGGTGTTGTATACCAATTATTATTATTCAGCTTGAGATTTACTGCTAATTTTAGTAGTTATACTTTTGTTAAATGAATATTGTTGTACTAACTACTAAACATGAACCTCCCCCTGTTATTTAGTTTGTTACTGCGGGAGAGCTGTAATACGAATGTAACTATGTATAACATTAGGAGTTATGCTTTATTTATCCTTTTGATAGTATATTTTTCTGCATTACGTTATAGGCTGCTGGTATTCCCAAAAAGCTTGCCTCTACTATTGGTATTGCTGTTGATCATCGTCGCAAGAATCGTTCTTTGGAAAGTCTGCAATCAAATGTGCAGAGGTTGAAAACCTACAAGGCTAAGTTGGTTGTGTTCCCAAGACGTGCACGCAAGGTTAAGGTAATACAAATTTTCAATTATCTGTTTAGATTCTTTGGGTGTTTTCTAATTGTTGACATAATTGATGTTAAAAGGTTTAAAACAAAGCTAAATATTTATTCAATTGACTCAAATGTTAATTCTCAGGCTGGTGATTCTACTCCTGAGGAACTTGCAAATGCCACACAAGTTCAGGGTTCATACTTGCCTATCGTGAGGGAGAAGCCATCTGTAGAGCTTGTTAAGGTTACAGATGATATGAAGGCATTTAAAGCTTATTATAAGCTTCGACTTGAACGCACAAACAAACGCCATTATGGTGCTAGACTGAAGAAGGCTGCTGAAGCTGAAAAGGAAGACAAGAAGTGATGACCTTTTATTTGTCGAAGTCTGTAGTCCCTTATCATAGTTGTTGCAAGACAATTTTTGCTCAAGATTAGCTTTATTAAGAACACATGTTCTGTCTAAATCGAAAATTTTTAAACCTATTTTTAATTTGGTATCGGTTATTCAAGTTTGTTGGTTTAACTAGCACTTTGTTTTGGCTGGATTGTTTTGAATTATTTATTTTGTTCTTGCTGTTTTCTAATTGCTGGTATACTTTTTTTATTTATTTATTTTTATCATAATTGTTAAAGTATTGGATATGCGCTCTTCTGTGCCCCTGAATGGTGAGAAGGTGGAATGTATTTTGCTGCTCTTACGTGTCAATTGCGTAAATTATCTTTTAGTTGGGACTATCTGTTCGTTTATTTTAAATTTGTCAAACAATCAAAGTTTAAAAGACGTATGAGTGACTTGCTTGTCAAGATTTTGTATAGAAAAAATATTTTTTAAATACTTGAAAACTTAGCAGGTATTTAACTTGCTATGAATTAAAGATGATTTACGTACAGATGGCAACCACACTCAAAGACGTTTTGCAATGAATAAAAGTAACAATATGATTGTGCAGAGGAACCACCGCTTTTTTAAACAAGTGAGGTACATTACGTTTAGGGATTTCAATAGTTTATAATATGTCTCAATATAGGTGTTTAAATGTTTAAAAATAATACTTGTATTCAGGTTTCATTTTTTCGGTCAGATTTCGCGTATCAGAAATTTCGTATAGAGAGAAGAAAAAATTGTCCTTATTCTTGGTTAAACAGGCAGTGCCTTCGGCCGCCTATGATAGGGGGGCCCTTTCCACTCCTTGTTGAAGTAGCAAAGCTCGTTGAGGCAGACCTAGACTGAAAGAGAAGTGGTCGTTCGTTCGAGAATAGGGGTCGTGGAAGAATTGGGTTCGATTCCCATAGCCCCACCACGAATCACGAGGGCGAAAAAGACGGAGAATTTCTTCTTTCTTATATAAAGAAGAGCCACGCTCTTGAAGCCCTAAGAAATAGGCAATATCGGTTCGAATCCGAATTGGGGGCATCGTCTTGGAGTCTTACGAGAATGAGAACTCATTTTCATTTCATTTTCTGACTCATTCTCTTTGATTGCTTTAAGTCGCCCTTTTTCCTTATCCTTTGTTTCTCGCACTAAGTTTCGGATATGTGCCAATAATAATTTTAATATCTATTTTTATATTCGTTGGATATCTTTGTGTTCATATTTGTATTTTATTTATGTAACACAATCATTTTAGTTATAATATCATAACACAATTTAAATAAATAAATAAATTTATTGTTAAATAATATTATATATATATATATATATTTATTTTAAATGTAAATTTTGAAAATTCAACCGTTAGATTGAAAGTTCATATCTCTTAGATCATATATGTCAAATTTTGTTAAAATTGAACAACAACTTAAAAGTAATCAAAGTGTTCATATTTTAGCATATTTTGAAATGTATATATTATGTCAATTTTGTTTTATGAGAATTAAGTTTTAAATCATCTTAGATTAATATAAAATTTTATATATATGATCTAAGAGATGTGAACTTTTAATCTAACAGTTGAATTTTTAAAATTCACATTTAATATAAAGTTATTAAACGGTGTAACACTTAGTAAAAATTACACTGGTATCATTTGAACCCTCCTCATATAGAGTTAAAACGTGTTTTATGATAGAGTTAAAACATCGTTTATTTAATTATTTATTTGAATTGATAGAGTTAAAACATGTTTTATGAATATAAATAATATTTTAAGGTAAACATTTAATAGATGCATATTTAAATTTTAAACAATTAAAATAATAAATACGTTTAAAAATGAAGAAAATGTTATTATGTCTATTTTTTTGTTACAAAATTTAAATGAAACATAATTTAAATTAAAAATATAAATATGTATATATATGTATAATATTTTAAAATAAATAAATTAAAGAATAAAATAGACTTATATATTATGATAGTTTATTTTTCAATCTCTATAATAAATTATTATGAATCCTTTTTATTTCCATCATGAATCCTTTTGAATTTAACTACATACTTATAAAATCATTAGATTTGAAATATATTTAACTTCTCATTATGTTGTGTTTTACCTTTCTACAATTTTTTTTACTGAAATTTGTAATATTTAATCTTTCTATGACATTTAACATTTATGAAGTATAATTTATATAATATTGAAATTTATCAAATAAAAATAAAAATAAACTCTAAATCCTGAATCCTGAACATTGAACCTTAAACCATAAGACTTAAAACCCTAAACCATCAACCTTAAAACATGAGTCATAAACCCTAAGTCCTAAATAAAATTACATCCAATTTTAAAATTATTTGGTAGTTTATCATATCAATTCATTTTAATGCATATAATAATTTTAGAATCAAATATAATTTTGTATATTTGATATAGTTAGTAATATCATCAAATATAACATTTGGATAAGTTAAATTTGCATTCTATAAAAATTATTAAAGATACTATTTCACTAATTTGACATCATAGTGTCAGTAGATTCTAACACTTATGTATTTTATAAAAATAAAGTAAGAAATTATTTAATATTTTTTATTTTATTTAATATATAGAAGATATTAATGTTTTAAAATTTCACTAATTTATATTTTAGTTATAATGAAAAATTAAATTGTTTGTATTAATATTTTTTATTCTAAATATAATTTGTCTTCCATGCATCATAGCATAAAAAATTTAGCATCCATAAATGTTTTTTTTTTTTGGGTAAGTAACATGCTTATCTTCTATTAGATAAAGTTTTTTTTAAGTAAGACTATTATCAGTATAAAAACTCGCTTTTGAGTATTTAATGTAATAGCATATTCAAGAATCAAACTTAAAATTTTATATTAAGGTTAAATAAATTTGTATTGATTGACTTATGCACTTACTGATAATTAAAGATGGCGATGGAACCTTATGAAGACGAGTAGTAGAGTATCCATCCTTGTCTCATTGTATAAAATTCTGTCATGTACACATCTTATATACACGTGAATATCCTTTATAGTGTGTTTGGATGAGGAATTTTACAAATTTAAGGAATTTTAAATTCTTGGCATTTGAATTACTTTGATTTCAATTTCTATCATTCTTAAAATATTTTGTTTGGATGAGTCAATTCAAATTTCTTAAATTTTAAATTGTTAGGTTGAATATGATAATTTGATTCCATCATAGTAAAATTGATTTTAAAAATATATTTATATGTTGATATTTTTAAATTAAATTTTATAAAAATAAATATTAATCCATTTTTAAATATTTAATAATTTTAAAAATTAATATTAGATAATATTTAATAATTTTAAAAATTAATATAAGATAATATTTAATAATTTTAAAAATATTTTTAAATATCTAATAATTAAAAGAATGAAGAGATAAGATAAAATATATAGGTGAAATAAGAAAAACAAATATGAGGAATTTCAAATTCTCCCATTTTTTGGAGAATTTGAAATTCTACTATTTTAAGAAATTTTACAAATGCTTGGATTTCAAATTCTTTATAAATTCCTCATCCAAACAAAGCATTTCACGTCAAGGAATTTGAAATTCTTCAAATAAATGAATTACCCTATATAAATTTCTCATCCAAACACACCATTAAGCATATGCTTGCGATTTTTATAAATGCTCGTGAATATTTATAGATATTTATGATTTATTTAAAAGATTAAAATAAAAATAAAAAAAACTATCTCAATTCCTGTTCATAAGATCAGACTTAGAACAATTATTTGTTTCTCTATATAAGACTGAATTTACAGTGTATTAATTGCTTTCAAACTAAAATACCCTTAATTCAAATATGTTTAAATACATTAGTTATAAACTCTTTAAAAGAGAGTAAGCAATATTATGAGAGAAAAGTAATATATGACATACACTTTAAACAGATAAGAGAGAGGTGAGTATTAATTAGTAGAGAAAAGAATCACAATAGTAATTTTAAAAAATATATATAAAAATAGGATGATTTTATTATTATCAACTAAATTAATTATTTTTCTTAATTTTGTTGAATTAAGTATTTAAATCTTATATAATTACAAAATATTACAAATAAATTTAAACCTTATACCCAAAACCCAAAACCCTAAATTTTATTAAGATATTATACAAAAATAATTGACATTAAATTTTTAACGTACATTTAATATTAATTTTGTTGAAATATTAAATATAATATAAAAAACATAAAATAAACATGAATATTTAAATAATTTTACTTAACAAAAATTCGTGGTTTTGATTACTACTATACTCACCCCAATAATATTCGTGGCTACAATTTTTTTTTCATCCCAATAATATTTGTATTTCTTAAATAAAGAGACTGTAATGTGCATTTATAGTATTAAATTAAATATATTAAATTGTATAGTACACCATATGAGAGAAGAGTATGCAATACTCCTATTCTTCAAAGAAAAATAATGTAATTTACTTAAATAAAAATAAATCAATGTTATTCACACAGACTGTTACAAGAACAGATAAAGATAATTTGCTTAATTTATGACACTGACACGTGAGTGAAAAGATAATTTTAATGATATTTAATTTTTGGTTAGAGTTACCAGTGAAATGATAATTTGATGGTATATGAAAACCGAATTGAAAGAGAAAAAGAAAAAGAAATTAATTGCACCCACCTACAAAATTGATAACATATTTTAAACAGAGAGAGAGGAATATGGTTGCGTTACGTAGACGCGCTTGAGTAGTGAAATTGTTCCCGGGCCCACACTCGATCCACTGCAACTATAAGTACGCTTCGAACGTAACGCATCATCAATTCATCGTCATCTCTTCAACTAAGCAAAGATCCAACAAGCAGTTCAATCTCCCAACATGGGTTTGAAGGTTTGTCTCCTAAATATATCTTTCCACTTTCAACCTTTGTTTTTCACATCATCAATCACTATATGCTATATACATATAATTGTTTTATGTATGATATGATATGATGTATCATACATACCATTCAATTTAGCTCTTTTGTTTTATTTTTGTGTGTGTGTGGGGGGTTTCTCTGCTACCCAATATATGTCTTCTTCCGTTATGGATTTTCAGATCCGTACCACTGTTTAATTTGTTCGGGGTGGTGATTTTCTTGGGAAAAAAGGGTTTTTTTGTTTGTTTTGATTGGTGGGTATTTTTGTAGACTTGTCATGAAGTGATAGAGATTTGATGCGGTCTCTTTTCTGGACTTCGAGATAATTGTAATTTCTTTATGTATTCATTTAGATTATTCAGGGTAGTACCTTAAAATGTGATCTTTAGCTTCAGTTGCTTGATGGTTTGTAGCAGGAATCCCTTGATCTACATTCTACAGTTTGTAATTTGGCTTGAAGATACTGATTTCAGATTTTTGGGGGAATTGGTTGTTCTTTTATGGATCCTCAAATTAATTATTATATGTTCAGCAATACCAGTTATATTCGTAAAGCAATGCTTCATATAATGGTTTTTAGCAACTATTTGACCAAATCATGGAAAGGATCCCGTTGTTCAAATACTGTAATTGGCCTATGCATCCTAAACCTCTAGGCAGGGATGTAAATCTGTAACCTATAATGACTATGTTCTGAATTTTGAACTAGTTTTATACTTCTGTGCTTGATATTGTGCTTGTAAAAAGAATTATCACACACTCGCTGGGACATGGTCATGCAGGAGGATTTTGAGCAACACGCTGAGAAAGTCAAGACTTTGCCAAGCAGTCCATCAAATGAAAACTTGCTTATCCTCTATGGATTGTTCAAGCAAGCCACTGTTGGACCTGTCAACACTGGTGAGTGCTTTTGTTTAACAAATAATAGTAAAGCAAGCAGTCCATAAGGAAGGATTATCCTTGTTCATGAACTTTCTATATGGTTTACAGCACGCCCTGGAATATTCAACATGAAGGACCGAGCTAAATGGGATGCATGGAAGGCCGTTGAAGGTTAAAAGAAATAAATAAATAAACTTATTGTCGTGATTATAATTCTTATTGAAAAAAAAAAATTAACGTACTTGAACATTTTCTCAAAGAAATCAAAACTCTTTTTGGCAGGGAAATCCAAGGAGGAAGCGATGAGTGATTACATCACTAAGGTTAAACAACTGTTTGAAGAAGCTAGCATTGCTGCTTGACAACATTGTCATGTCCTGCTTTCTGATTCTGTGCTAGAAGTTCTCAACAGTGTGGAAATAAAAAGTTGCAGTGTTTGAAGCTTTTATCATTATAATCTTAATTACTCCTAATGATTTACAGAGCACTAGATTATTAAAATTAAAATAACGGCTTTGTGGATATTTATATGCTAACAGACACTAAAGAAAGAAAAGCAGTATCAAATAAATATTTATACTGTTTGTGTTTGATCTAATTCGTTTATATTTTTATTAATTTATTCAAGACCTATATTGATGGACTTACATTTAATTGGAGAGTGTAAAGTGCCGTTCCAATTACAAAAGAGCTGCACATGACTATGAAACTTTCCATAACATGTGAAGCATTAAAAATTAAATTAGCATTAGATTAGGTATCATAATATAATAATCAAAGCCATAAACCCATGACCGCCTAATTTCATGGAAATCAAGATTTCAAAATTGCAAGTTAATCCCTCTATGGTTTGAATTTAAGTTCCATGGTGATATTGGTTTGCTCCTGGTTTCCAGTGTCCCATGTCTTTGTGTATTTCGTTGGCATTCTTATCTCATGGTGGATTGTGAACTGAAAAACTTGGACTTGTGGGTTGAAACACTCAAGGTCGCACAAACTATAGGTACTTAATCACATCAATAATAGCAACAAAAAGAAAATGAAACGATTGCAACATAAAAACTATCCAATGTACATCAACTCCAGAATTAAATTTTCTGCAGGATGAAAATCGTAACAAAATTACATAATTTTCACACAACAAACATCGCTGCAACATCAAAATATTATATTGTGATAAAAGGACTGTATTTGCTACTGTAACTTTCAAATTCTGATCAACGAAAACATTTTAAGGACTTCCTTGCAAAATTAATAAGTTGTGAAACCTTATATCACCGGTCAAATTCATGAATCATCCATGCAGCACATTTTCAACTACTTCACCTCGGGCGTAGCATTTGCCCTCAAAAGCATCTATCTAGTGAATTTTTTATACATTACTCTTATCATATTTCCTTCTCCAAAATCAGAATAAACGCCAAGGTTTCCTTCAATCTAGATCTTGTTGCTGCAGATGGCCGAGGCTTTGCTAGGAATTGTGACTGAAAACTTGAGATCTTTTGTCCAAGATGAACTTGCAACCATTTTGGGTGTTGACCAACAGATTCAGAAGCTTTCCAGCTATCTCACTGCAATCCGCGCTGTCCTCGAAGATGCTGAGAAAAAGCAAATCACAAGCAATGCTGTGAAGGATTGGCTTCAGAAACTCACAGATGCAGCATATGTGTTGGACGATATCTTGGATGAATGTTCAATACACTCAAAAAGTTCATGCTTATCTCGTGTCCACCCTAAGGACATTCTCTTTCGTCGTGATGTTGGCAAGAGGATGAAAGACATCACCCAAAGATTTCATGACATTCATGAAGAAAGGAGCATGTTTCAATTCAGTACTGGTGTCACTGACAAGCATGCAGAGGATGATGATGAATGGCGCCAAACTAGCTCTGTCATTACTGAACCCATTATCTATGGTAGAGACCAAGACAGAGAGCAAATTGTGGAGTTTCTTTTGCGGCATGCAAGCAACAGCCAAGACCTCTCCATCTATCCCATAGTTGGTATGGGTGGACTTGGGAAAACCACACTTGCCAAACAGGTCTTCAATGATGACCGGGTAAGCAAACATTTTGACTTGACAATCTGGGTTTGTGTTTCTAATGATTTCAATACAAAGATAATACTGCAATCCATCATAGAATGTATCACTGGACAACATCCCAATCTCAATACTTTAGAAGCAATGCAAAAAAAGTTTCAAGAAGTGTTGCAGAGCAAGAGGTATTTACTTGTTCTTGATGATGTGTGGAATGAAGACCAAAGGAAATATCACCCCACATTTCATAACTCAATTCCACATCACATACACAAAATAGATAAGTCCACACAAAATAGTGGTTCACATACCCCTTAAGCAATTCATCATGAATCCACATCTAGATCATTAATTTCTTTATTATTTATGTTTGATTGAAGTAGGGTTGGAAGTGAATGACTCACTTGCAAATCTGACCTATCCAAACCGATCAAATTATACTTTTGCCGGTTAAGTTGGATCATTGAATTGTATTGACTAATTTTTCGTTAAGTAATTATAATTAAATTGAGTAATAAGTTAAAGAATTTTTTATTAGATGAACTTGCATGAATCTAACTTATGATAAATTATTAAATTAAATTTAAAAAAAAATTATACATAATATACTTTAAATCAACTTATATTAAATTTTAAAAAACTGAAATGGAGGAAAACTTTGTGTTCTCTGCGACCACTGCTCGTTTAGGTATCATAATATAATAATCAAAGCCATAAACCCATGACCGCCTAATTTCATGGAAATCAAGATTTCAAAATTGCAAGTTAATCCCTCTATGGTTTGAATTTAAGTTCCATGGTGATATTGGTTTGCTCCTGGTTTCCAGTGTCCCATGTCTTTGTGTATTTCGTTGGCATTCTTATCTCATGGTGGATTGTGAACTGAAAAACTTGGACTTGTGGGTTGAAACACTCAAGGTCGCACAAACTATAGGTACTTAATCACATCAATAATAGCAACAAAAAGAAAATGAAACGATTGCAACATAAAAACTATCCAATGTACATCAACTCCAGAATTAAATTTTCTGCAGGATGAAAATCGTAACAAAATTACATAATTTTCACACAACAAACATCGCTGCAACATCAAAATATTATATTGTGATAAAAGGACTGTATTTGCTACTGTAACTTTCAAATTCTGATCAACGAAAACATTTTAAGGACTTCCTTGCAAAATTAATAAGTTGTGAAACCTTATATCACCGGTCAAATTCATGAATCATCCATGCAGCACATTTTCAACTACTTCACCTCGGGCGTAGCATTTGCCCTCAAAAGCATCTATCTAGTGAATTTTTTATACATTACTCTTATCATATTTCCTTCTCCAAAATCAGAATAAACGCCAAGGTTTCCTTCAATCTAGATCTTGTTGCTGCAGATGGCCGAGGCTTTGCTAGGAATTGTGACTGAAAACTTGAGATCTTTTGTCCAAGATGAACTTGCAACCATTTTGGGTGTTGACCAACAGATTCAGAAGCTTTCCAGCTATCTCACTGCAATCCGCGCTGTCCTCGAAGATGCTGAGAAAAAGCAAATCACAAGCAATGCTGTGAAGGATTGGCTTCAGAAACTCACAGATGCAGCATATGTGTTGGACGATATCTTGGATGAATGTTCAATACACTCAAAAAGTTCATGCTTATCTCGTGTCCACCCTAAGGACATTCTCTTTCGTCGTGATGTTGGCAAGAGGATGAAAGACATCACCCAAAGATTTCATGACATTCATGAAGAAAGGAGCATGTTTCAATTCAGTACTGGTGTCACTGACAAGCATGCAGAGGATGATGATGAATGGCGCCAAACTAGCTCTGTCATTACTGAACCCATTATCTATGGTAGAGACCAAGACAGAGAGCAAATTGTGGAGTTTCTTTTGCGGCATGCAAGCAACAGCCAAGACCTCTCCATCTATCCCATAGTTGGTATGGGTGGACTTGGGAAAACCACACTTGCCAAACAGGTCTTCAATGATGACCGGGTAAGCAAACATTTTGACTTGACAATCTGGGTTTGTGTTTCTAATGATTTCAATACAAAGATAATACTGCAATCCATCATAGAATGTATCACTGGACAACATCCCAATCTCAATACTTTAGAAGCAATGCAAAAAAAGTTTCAAGAAGTGTTGCAGAGCAAGAGGTATTTACTTGTTCTTGATGATGTGTGGAATGAAGACCAAAGGAAATGGAAGGAGTTGAAGGGGGTGTTGCAGTGTGCAATGGGAACAATTTTGGTCACCACTCGGCTTGAGCAAGTTGCATCCATCATGGAAGCGTGTTCCTTTATGTTCTGCCATTGTTGTACTTCACTTTCACCACGCAAGAGGCTTCCCAGTGTTTTGATTGCAAGGGGTGAACCAACGCATTTCCTCACTATATATTTGCCAATTGCAACAAGCTCTTCACTCTCTTCTCTGTCATGTCCAAATGCATGATGTTTGAACAATGACCAACTGTCATCATCAGATAATTCTATCAAACGATGAACAGGACACACTTCCATGATGGATGCAACTTGCTCAAGTCGAGTGGTGACCAAAATTGTTCCCATTGCACACTGTAACACCCCCTTCAACTCCTTCCATTTCCTTTGGTCTTCATTCCACACATCATCAAGAACAAGTAAATACCTCTTGCTCTGCAACACTTCTTGAACCTTTTTTTGCATTGCTTCTAAAGTATTGAGATTGGGATTTTGTCCAGTGACACATTCTATGATGGATTGCAGTATTATTTTTGTATTGAAATCATTAGAAACACAAACCCAGATTTTCAAGTCAAAATGTTTGCTTACCCGGTCATCATTGAAGACCTGTTTGGCAAGTGTGGTTTTCCCAAGTCCACCCATACCAACTATGGTATAGATGGAGAGGTCTTGGCTGTTGCTTGCATGCCGCAAAAGAGACTCCACAATTTGCTCTCTGTCTTGGTCTCTACCATAGATAATGGGTTCAGTAATGACAGAGCTAGTTTGGCGCCATTCATCATCATCCTCTGCTTGCTTGTCAGTGACACCAGTACTGAATTGAAACATGCTCCTTTCTTCATCAATGTCATGAAATCTTTGGGTGATGTCATTCATCCTCTTGCCAATATCACGACGAAAGAGAATGTCCTTAGGGTGGAGACGGGATAAGCATGAACTTTTTGGGTGCATTGAACATTCATCCAAGATATCGTCCAACACATATGCTGCATCTGTCAGTTTCTGAAGCCAATCCTTCACAGCTTTACTTGTGATTTGCTTTTCCTCAGCATCTTCGAGGACAGCGCGAATTGCAGTGAGATAGCTGGAAAGCTTCTGAATCTGTTGGTCAACACCCAAAAACGTTGCAAGTTCATCTTGGACAAAAGATCCCAAGTTTTCAATCACAATTCCTAGCAAAGCCTCGGCCATCTGCAGAAAGAAGATCTAGATTGAAAGAAACCTTGGCGTTGACTCTGATTCTGGACAAGGAAATATGATAAGAGTAGTGAATAAGAATTTCACCGGAAAGATGCTTTTGAGGGCAAATACTAATGCTACGCCCGAGGTGAAGTAGTTGAAAATGTGCTGCATGGATGATTCATGAATTTGACCGGTGATATAAGGTTTCACAACTTATTAATTTTGCAAGGAAGTCCTTAAAATGTTTTCGTTGATCAGAATTTGAAAGTTACAGTAGCAAATACAGTCCTTTTATCACAATATAATATTTTGATGTTGCAGCGATGTTTGTTGTGTGAAAATTATGTAATTTTGTTACGATTTTCATCCTGCAGAAAATTTAATTCTGGAGTTGATGTACATTGGATAGTTTTTATGTTGCAATCGTTTCATTTTCTTTTTGTTGCTATTATTGATGTGATTAAGTACCTATAGTTTGTGCGACCTTGAGTGTTTCAACCCACAAGTCCAAGTTTTTCAGTTCACAATCCACCAACTTGCCATAACATGTGAAGCATTAAAAAATTAGCATTAGATTAGGTATCATAATATAATAATCAAAGCCATAAACCCATGACCGCCTAATTTCATGGAAATCAAGATTTTAAAATTGTAAGTTAATCCCTCTATGGTTTGAATTTAAGTTCCATGGTGATATTGGTGTGCTTCTGATTTCGGGTAGCATCAGCAACTAAAATATGAGAAAAGCAACGGTTGAAGATAGGAACAAGAGAAGAGCTCTTTCCAGTGTCCCATGTCTTTGGTGTATTTCGTTGGCATTCTTATCTCATGCTGGGTTGTGAACTGAAAACTTGGACTTGTGGGTTGAAACACTCAAGTTAGCACAAATTATAGCTACTTAATCTCATCAATAATCACAACAACAAAAAACGATTGCAACATAAAAACCATCTGATGTACATCAACTCCAGAATTAAATTTTCTGCAGAATGAAAATCGTAACAAAATTACATAATTTTCACACAACAAACATCGCTGCAACATGTAATATTATATTGTGATAAAGGACTGTATTTGCTACTATATAACTTTCAACTTCTGATCAACTAAAACATTTTAAGGACTTCTTTGCAAAATTAATAAGTTGGGGAACCTGTTATCACCGGTCAAATTCACGACTCATTCATGTATCACATTTTCAACTACCTCAACTTAGGCGTAGTATTTGCCCTCAAAAGCATCTTTCCGGTGAAATTCTTATTCACTACTCTTATCATATTTCCTTGTCCAGAATCAGAGTCAACGCAGCATTAGATTAGGTATCATAATATAATAATCAAAGCCATAAACCCATGACCGCCTAATTTCATGGAAATCAAGATTTCAAAATTGCAAGTTAATCCCTCTATGGTTTGAATTTAAGTTCCATGGTGATATTGGTTTGCCTTATATTAAATTTTACTTTGAGTCCATAAACATCGGAAAAAGAATTACAATTGAAGAAGGAACAAAATAAAAAATAATAATTTAATTTAATTTATTATGCAATTCAAAATTTATCATGCTAGTAATATAATATTTATTTGTTTAAATTATTTGTAAGTTTCGTTAATAATTATTGTAATGTTTATATTTTAAATTATGTATTGTAATTTGAATTAAATATTTTTTATTTTATAATTGTTCAACCTAATAATCCAATTTGACACGACACAATTGTAGTTAAATTAAGTTGGATAAAAAACAATAATCTAGATGGGACCAATCCGTTACACTCATAGATTGAAGTGTATCACACATTATTCGTATGTTATTTATAATCTGCCTATGAAGAGAGATGCCCAATAAATGAGTAGAAAATTTATATTTTTTTCAAAATTTCTTAATTATGTTGGGAAATGCTTTAGAAATGAATATTTAATGATACTTCACATGTCCAACGGTACACGGAATAGAAGAATGCTTCTTATTTAAGTCATTAAATATTAAATAATATTATAGACCTGATGTCACTTACATAATACTAGGACATAGAAAGATGAAAAAAGATTATAGAAAGATAGATATAATTATAAATCGTCATGGGTCCATTGTGGCCCTGCAAAATTGCTTGGGTTGGCTTCTTCTTCTTTTTTTTGAAATGGTTGGCTTCTTTTCCTTGTTTTATCACTATATCATACAACAATATTCACATGTCATATACACTATTTTTTTTTCCTCTCTTGTTAATTAAGTTTAATTTTTATGTTCTGTGTAAAAAAATATCTCATCCTGTATATTAATTATAATGATCTTAAACTAGAGTAACTTTAGGTTTCAATTTTTTAACGAAAGCGTTTCCAGTTTTTTTTTTAAAGAATATTTTTATCACCTCTAATTATTTACCATATACCATTTTATCTTTTTAAATTAAATTTAATATTATTTAAAAGTTATCATATAATGATCTTCTCAATATTTTAACTCCAAACGTGTGGTTCGTTGATCTACGCTTAAGTAAGATCAGGGGTTCGAATCCTGCCTCGTGTATGCAGTTGTGTTAAATCTTGGGGTCAGCTATCCAACCCTTTGAGGCTCCTCCAACCTAGATTAGTCACATACTCCAGGAACGAACCAAAAGAAAAAAAATCCTCTCAATATCTTTCTATATATTTTTAGAATAATTATATGAAACTAAAGTATTTTAATATGAACATATTTACCCTTATTCATATTTTTTTAATTTTCTATTTTCAAAATTTTATATGGTTTAATTTTTGTGTACATTTTTTTTAAGTCTTTCTACTCTTTTAAATCAACTATTATATATTAAATATGAATATCTATCTTTCACGAAAATATTTTTAGAAATTTTTTTGCAATGAAATAATATTTTTATAATTTTTTAACTTTTTGTCTTATTCAATTTTTATTTATCATAATTATTTACAAATTAAATTTTAATATTTTTACAATAATTTATTAAGAAATAAAAAATAATATATTATAATATAAATTATTTATTATAAATCTAAAATATAATTTATATGTTTGTAAATATTTACTTATACAAATTTTAAATATAATTTATATATTTAAATATAAAATTTATTTATATATAATTTATTATAAACTTTAATTATATATAATAAATATTTGATATATACATTTTATGTTAAAATACTAGTTACAACTTACAACTATCCAAAAATCTTGAAAACTCTAACTAATAATAGTGCACTGTTATTGAACCTCAACCTTGAAAACTAACAGCGCGTTTGGAAAATTATTTTTTTAACGAAAACGTAAAAACACATTTTCTAAAGTAACTATTTCTATTTTTGTCCGTTCAACGTACGTTTATCAAATTTTAACAATAAAACAAACACACACTAAGACTAATTAATAGTCCATGGTTATTCAACCTCGTTAATTATAATGGTAATCTTGAGTGTGCTTTAAGAACCATTATCTAACAAAAGTTATTTTTAAATTTTTTTTTTTACTTATTTCAGTCTCATCTTTATTTTTATTTTTAAATTAAATTTTGATATATTTTTAATTTAAAATTAATTAAAGATAATCTTATATTACAATATAAATGATTTATTATAAATTTACAATATAACCTATATGTTTATAAATATTTATTTATTAAATTTTAATTTTAATATAATTTATATTCATAGTATTAATTATAAAATTTAATTATATAAAATAATTATTTATCACTTGCATTGTGAATATATATATATATATATATATATATATACTAAGAGCTACTCTTATTTTTAAGGATTTTTCTCCAAAAGAGTTATTAGAGTTTATTCTAAACATCTCATGTCTTTCAATTAAATTAAATTTAATATTTTAAATTATAATTCAACACTTTATCATGATTTTTTAAATTAAATTTAATATTTTTTATTAAAATTATCAATGTAGATAAATTTTTTAAATTTAAATATGTTTTTAATCTCTCAAATTTATGATGAATTTATTTTGGGTCCCTTAAATTTATTAGAATTGTTGTTTTTAATCTTTGTAATTTTCAAAAATTTTGTTTTAATCCCTTAAATCACCAATAACATATATGAAAGTGACAGATTGAGACAATTATATAGTATCAACTGAATTTAATGTGATTGTTTACTAACAATGATACTAGTAGGTATATATTATATCATAGTATTTGAAAAATTCCCTAACAAAATTTGAATATAAGGATTAAAGCAAGAGTTTTTTTTAATTATAGGACTAATAAAATCACTTTTAAATTTGAGAGACTAAAAACAAATTTACCTTAAATTTGAGGGACTAAAAATGTATTTAAATCAATTTTTTTATGATAAGTTTAAATTGTAATTCATATGTTCAAAAATATTTTGTGAATTTCAATTATAATATAATTTACATATTCATAAATAATTATTTATTTTAAAGAAGATCTTTAAGATATTTATTGTAAAATTCAAACTTATTACTCATAGTACTTTATCGTTATATGATATTGTAAAATTTGTACATTGTCAACTAAAAATAAATATTATATTTGTATCGCCCAATTTAGTCATTTGAATCGAGTGGTATAATCAAACTTAGACACTTCGAACCAACTTGTACTGTTCAACTCGGACATGCCAAATCAAGCTCAAAAAATACGTTTTTAACAAGTTTGGATTTCCAACCCAAGCAGCAACTAAGCAATAATATTGACTTTATGTTCTTAAAAATCCCAAAACACATTAAAACAACAATACGATAATAATATCTCTACATAACAAACCTCCCATATAATTATGAAATATCCTATATCAACTATCTTTCTACTCTAACCTAATTTTAACTTAGGTTCACCTCTAACTTGAGTGTCAGAATATCTTTACAAATGCTCCCATCACCATGGATATTGAAAACAACAAGAATGACATCCCTATCATAAAAGCAACTATAAGTTATATTAAATAAATATTATTTTAAAATAATTATTATAAAAATTAACGAAGTTACTAGGACAATTTATAATTAAATGATGA